ATATTGAGGTTTCCTAGTAAAAACGTCCACTCACAGCATCCTGTGATGAAGCCACAATGGGCAAGCACCCACCCAGCACCAGAGACCCCCAGTCAGCTCATGCCTTACCCTCAAACATGAGCAGAGTGACAGCCCAATATCAGTAGACATATTGGGAGATCTTCCAATATCAAAAACTGAGCCCTAAAGACACAAACTGCCAATGAGACATGGAAGAAGCAGACACTCTGCAGGGAACAGGAAAGTGAGGGAGGGGGATAGCAGTATCTTAAGAGAAATAAGAAAAGTTAGTGCATCATGAAGCAAGGGTGTGATGCTTTCACAAAGGATATTCTGGAGAGTAAATCTGTTATCAGATGTGAAAACTTTAACAGAGATGAGAACAAGAACAAAACAATAAGTTAAAAAAGAAGAAAAAAGGAAAAGAAAAAAAAAAAAAACATAGGAAACCAGACAAGTCCAACACTTGTATAAGCAGAGTTTCAGAAAGAGAAAAGTTTTGAATGAAGGGAAGAAAATAATTGAAGGAAATTACCAGAAGTAAAGGATGTATATTTCCAAATTAAGCTCTACCAAGTGCCCAGCACAATAGGTGAAAGAGAACCAAACCAAGACATACCATTGTAAAGTGTCAGAACACTGGAGACAAACAGAATACCCTGCAAGGTTCCAGAAAGAATAAAATAAGTTTCATACAAAAGATCAAGAAAATAATATGATGTCAAAATTTCAATAGCCACACCAGAAACTAGAATAAAATGTGGCAAAGCCTTCAAAACTTTGGAAATGATTTCCATGATGAACTCATACTCCTAAGACATACAAACCATCCCCTCAGGGTCCACCATGAGCATGAACTTATACTCCTAAGACATACAAGCTATTATCTCAGTGGAGGCAAGACTAACACACGTTTATACATGTAAGGTATAAAAAAAAATCATCTCACATGCACATTTCCTCAGGAAGCTACTTGAGAATGTGCTACCCCCAAAATGAGGCAGTAAATTAAATGAGGAGGATCCAGGATCCAGGAAATCAAACCAAGGAAAAAACAACAGAAAGTCCTAAGATGATGAAAGAGAGTGAGACCAAGTGGAGAACTGTGCAGCAGCCCTGCCTATAGACCACTCCCAAGTGGAGCAGACTGAAAGGCTTCTTCAAGACAAATGTATCTGGGCATGTTGAGAAGAGATTTATGTAACCAGAAGGGAGTTAAGATGGAATGAGTGTTATGTACATAGAGAACTAAGTATTTAACTTGAGGCAAAAGGTTAGAAAGTGTAGGAAAAGTAAAGGAATCATGTCTCAGCAGTGACTAGTGTTTCCATAAAATGTAAATACTTAATGCTGAGCTAACCAAGTCTATTGGAAGTCTGGGTGTGGGAAATGTGTGTTGGAAGAGGAATTATGATGGCATTGGCAATGGGGAGATTAAAAGAGACAAACTCACATCTTGCATCACACAAAAACAATAGATCATGCCAAAACTGAAAATTCAAGAATTAGCAATGCAGATTGAGGGAAGCAAATATTCCAGTTAAAAGAGTTGAAAGTTCATGAAGTACAGAAAAGAATAAACAATTGTCAGGGAACTATTGTTATTATTATTATTTTTTTTTGTCACAAGCCTTATAGAATTATTTGGTTCTTTAAACTGTGTGTGTGTGTGGGGGGTGTGGGTGTGGATAAAAATAATAACTAAACTAAAACAGTGAGGAAGAATAAATAAACTGCAATATAAAGAAATTAGACTCAGAATGCAGCATATAAACACAAAGAGATTAAAATACAAAAGAGAGGTTTAAGGAAATGGTTGACTGCTGTTGTTATTGTTGTTATGTGCCGTGGAGTCGGCCCCGACTCATAGCGACCCCTCCTTGGGTTTCCGAGGCAGTATCACTACAGAAGTAGGATTGCCCAACCTTCCTTCTGAGGAGTGGCTGGTGGGTTTGAACTGCCAGCCTTCTGGTTAGCAGTCAAGTGCCTTAGGCACTATGCTACCAAAGCTCCTGGCTGACTGCTAGAAAGGCTAATATATGTCTGATGGGCATTACAGAAGCAGAAGGGAGAGAGAATGGGGGAGAGGTATATTTGAAGTGAGAACATCTGTGAGTTTTCCCAGAACTGATTTAACTTGTGGAACCTTAGATTTAAGAAACCTAGTGAAACCTGAGAAATAGAAATAAAATTGAAAATGCCAAAGACAAAAAGATATCTTAAAGTAACCAGAGGGCAAAAACCAACTAGTAGATTGACAACTGACTTCTTATATAGAAATAATGAAAATCAATAGAATAA